GCTTAATGGCATTTCCACCTAGACCGATGCAGCTATAAAACTTACTTTTGCCCTTTTTATAGACTATTTTGTATTTTGCTTTGAATCTAAGTAAAGATCATCTTGTGGTCTGAGGCCGATTGATGGTTAAACTCTAAATACCTCTTTCATCCACAGATTATGACTGCGTTTTCTTTAGTTCTTAATGAGATTCTTTGTTTGACTTCTCTTGGACATTCACTTTAGCAGATTACTTGCATTTTTTTCCACTGAACAGATTTATCTCTTTATTTTTCAAAACTTCTTGCTTTAATTGTTCTGAGCTGATGGTTGAACCTCTTACATCATCTGCTTGTGTTTCCYTTTTAGAGCCATCCCTTTTTGTTTTTACTTGCTTCACATTTTAAAGCTGACTGGGAACAATCAGCATAATTTTCTGCACACGGTGTTAAATGACCTCTTTAAGAATTTTCTAATTCTTTAATTATTTTAATATTTCCATTTCTCCGACCTGTTTTGCTTTCAGTCAGATGGCATGTTAAGGTCTGCAAACACTTTGCTTTTTCATTTCCATTTTAATATGTCTTCAGGCATTTAATTTAAAAATGCAAATTACATTTTTTCCTGAGAGATATATATGAATAAAGTACAAGAATATTTACTTTTTAAAAGTTTGTTTTACAAAATTAAACCATTCAGTTTTAATTAAATTGGTCTTGTTTCACTTTTATTTTTGTGAAATTAATCAGCTAAGTGAGTTGTAGTAAGTAATAATTGAATAGTTGGTGTTTTTTGCTTGTGGCTGTATACAGAAATTAGACAAAAAAAACCTGTAAAGGTTAAACAGTAAAAATTGTCATGTTGTCTGTGCTTCTCTCTGCTCCTGAAGTGACCGCCTGGCCATGCGTCAGGTGCGCTCCATCCTGCAGCACCTGGGCCTCACCGGCTCCACCTGTGATGACAGCGTTCTGGTGAAGGAGGTGTGCAGCGTGGTCGCYCGGCGTGCAGCTCAGCTCTGTGGAGCCGGTTTAGCTGCTGTCGTCGACCGGATACGCCAGAACCGCAACCTGAATCAACTCTCCATCACCGTGGGAGTGGACGGCACCCTCTATAAAACACACCCTCAGTAAGAAGCTTTTTATCTTGAACAGATTTAGTTTCTTTGTCATACATTTTGCTCAGTCTTATGTAGAGGTGTCTCACTACCAGCCTTAAATACTTGTATTTCATACTTCAGACCAGTACCTCTTTCATGCTTGCTGATGTCATATTTCCTCTCATGTTTTGTAAGTAAAAACCTTGTTACATTGTGTTTTAGACAACTTATTCAAACTTGTGATTTTTTTATGTCTAAATTACTAATAAAAGTTGTGTATTTGATCCGTTTGTTAGCATTACAGTATGTACATGCCTAAAAAAGCTTCCAGTTGATTTTTTTTAATTCAATATCCAACATATGTGTCTTAAAATTTCCATAAGTTGGCATAAGTTGTCTAAAATGTTATAGTGTGACAGGGCCTTAACCGAGGGCTAAAAATAAAAAAAATATTTGTAGTTTGGTGATATTTTTGGATAAACATAGGTGATGTTAAAGGGATCCACAATTAGTTGTAACATTAAACTTTATTTGATAAACATTTATTTTTACTGTACATTAAAGACTGTAAAAATACTGGGTAAATGATGACGTAGGCTTTGTTTACTGGTGGGAGGCCGTGAGTGAGCTTTACTTTAATCTTGGACAATATCTGATGATCGGCCCTTTTAAACAAAACCAGAGAGGAGAAGGTAGAAATGACTCAGACTGGAACTGAAAATATAGATGGAGGACAACAGAGCTGCTTCATGGAAGAAGAACCTCAGCTTAGCCTGTTTCTTTTCACGCTAGTGTGGATCTGTTTAACACAGCAGACTGTTAGTATCACTAAGTACCCAAACTGAAATAC